CTCTCTCTCTCTCTCTCTCTCTCTCTCTCTCTCTCTCTCTCTCTCTCTCTCCCACTCACTCTTTTTCTCCCTCTCCCACTCACGCTCTTTCTCTCTGTCTCACTTTCATCTCTTTTCTTCGCGCTCTCTTTTCCTTGTTTTTGTTGCCCGTCCTTTCTCCCTGTGCAGGGGGGCTCGCTTGTGTCACAGACTGCCAATCTTTCTCTCCCCGGTGTATCCATGTTTGTTCGTCATTGACGTCCAAATAGCGGGTGGTTGGAGGGCGCCATGGTAGCTCCTATCTCTTTTCTTATTCTCTGTTGTTTCTGTCTGTCTGTCTGTCTGTCTGTCTGTCTGTCTGTCTAGCTTCTTCCCTGCACTATTATGCGGCCGTTGTTGTGTCGATGTGTTTCTCTTTACTCAACTCAAATACGTTAAATACGTTAAAAAGACGTCCAAGTAGGCCTTTTAAAAACATTTTGGAACTCATTTCTGCGTGAGCATTAACGCGTGCTACGTGTGTTAGTGTATGGGATGGTGCCGTGTTGTGTGTGTATACATTATTTATTAGCACGTTTGTGACCTATAGTTCTGTTGTTTTTGTTGTTTTTGATGATGATGATGGTGCTGCTACGGTGCTTTTGAGGATGATGATGGTGAGGATGATGCTGTTACGGTGTTGTCATCGTGTAAGAAGATACACGAATCAGTGAGAACCCGAAACTGAGAATTCCAAACTTTGCTTCCCTTTGAGGTCTTGTTGTTTTGTTGAGATTTAAGTGGGTCAATCCAAATGACTCGGTCTTATCGGAGATGGACTGTAAATTTAGAGGTTCCACCTCTAAAACAAATAGCCAAATTATGTTGAAAAAGGCGTACTGTCTTACATGGTTACTTGGTTGGAGAATAGAGGCATCGATCAGAAGCGGCACAATTTCTGCAGCTGCTCCTCCCTCCTCTCCAAGATCCATGAGAGGATCGGCTTTCTGACCGTGCCAATTATCAGGTGGTTGGATATCATTCTTCTGTTGAAAGAGGTATTACACTTAAACCGTAACTCTTTGGGTAGTTGGCGGGTGCTCTGGTGTGCTTCGCTCCTTCTTTCCAATCAAACATCTATCGCCCTTATCTCTCCTCCTGCTTGTTTGTGTATGTTACTCTCTTGTAACACATCTATTCTTCGGCACTTATATGACCTTATTGTGTTGCAAGAGCCGTAATACTCTCACTAAAACTTTAAAAAACCCTAACTTTTACTTTTCCCCCCTTTTTGCAGGTTCGCCACCCAGGAACGTAACGGCTTGCTACTGTACAACGGTCGGTTCAACGGTGAGCACGACTTCATCGCCCTGGAGGTGGTGGACGCACAGGTCCGCTTTACCTTCTGTCTGGGCTCCAACGTCACCACCTCCGTCACCAGCAATGTCAAGGACGGCGTCAGCACCGGCGAGTGGGTCACGGTCAAGGTGGAATATTTGGCTCGGGTGAGGAGGACGTGTGTTTGTTTTTGTTTGGGAGGGTTTGTGTGTTTGTGTATGTGTTTGGGGT